GAATGATACTATCCTTTGTTGTGTAAACTTCTAATTTTGCATTGTAGACACTAATAATGGGTAACCGTGAGGCTATTTCAAAGATGCACAACACGAGTGCTTCTGTCTTGACATCTGTGCTTACACTAATAGACGAATACGATTTGTATGGTCAAGTGGCATACCCCAAGCATCACAAGCACTCTGAAGTTCCTGACATTTACCGTTTAGCCACAAGAACTAAGGTATGTTGTTCATGATGCGACATGAATACACTTGTGCTAGCTTGGCCATGCTTCTTTCATGTTCCCTTAGCATACTTCTATTCACTTATTTATTATGTCTTCTTTCATGCCTGTGGATATGCATAAATGAGAAAAAATTCAAATAAAATGAAGAGTGGATTCTTGATTTAATGATCTGACCGTTTTATTTATTTATTTATAGTATAGTGTGGTAGAGTTCATTGTTGCTTCTGTTATTGTCCTAGTTACATGGATGCTGATCATCTATTCTTCAGGGGGCTTTTGTTAACGTGGCTTATTTCGAACAATTTGGCGTTACCTTGATAGAGGTCAGAACTAGAGAGACTAATTTCCAGTTGCAGCAATTTACTTTTCAGTTTCCTGATTAGAACCAGTATTTTATATCCATGAGTAGGCCGCTATGAATGGTTTGCCTGTTATTGCTACAAAAAATGGAGCTCCTGTTGAAATTCATCAGGTACGTGGGCCTTACACTTACGTGTGCCATGCTATTAACGTAAACAAAAATGCATCAACTCATTTCAAATGGGCATCACTGTGTCTGCTCTCTGGTCGTTTCTTATGCAGGTGCTCAACAATGGTCTCCTTGTCGATCCACATGATCAAAATGCCATTGCAGATGCACTGTATAAACTTCTTTCCGAGAAGCAACTTTGGTCAAGATGCAGAGAAAATGGACTAAAAAATATTCACCAATTTTCCTGGCCTGAACATTGCAAGAATCACCTGTCAAGGATATTGACTCTTGGCATGAGATCTCCTGCTGTCGGTAGTGAAGAGGAAAGGAGTAAGGCACCTATATCAGGAAGGAAGCATATCATTGTTATTTCTGTAGACTCTGTTAACAAGGAGAATCTAGTGCGGATCATCAGAAATGCGATTGAGGCCGCACATACAGAAAACACACCGGCTTCAACTGGTTTCGTGCTGTCAACTTCGCTAACAATATCAGAGATATGTTCACTGCTAGTATCTGTAGGCATGCATCCTGCTGGTTTTGATGCTTTCATCTGCAACAGTGGGAGTAGCATTTACTATCCTTCATATTCTGGTAATACGCCAAGCAATTCCAGGGTTACACATGTAATAGATCGAAATCATCAATCACATATTGAGTATCGTTGGGGAGGAGAAGGTCTAAGAAAGTATCTTGTGAAATGGGCTACTTCAGTGGTTGAAAGAAAGGGAAGAATTGAAAGGCAAATGATTTTTGAAGATTCAGAACACTCTTCTACATATTGTCTTGCATTTAAAGTGGTCAATCCAAATCATGTAAGCTTTACATTTTCCCTAATCTTTTACTTCATGGATCGCCTTATCTGTGCTTAATATTTTGTGGAAGTTCCTTCACAATGTCTCTAATGTGATGTTCTCTCTCCCTTCATCTAGCTGCCTCCCCTAAAGGAGTTGAGGAAGTTGATGAGAATCCAGTCTCTCCGTTGTAATGCGCTGTATAATCACAGCGCTACCAGACTGTCTGTAACTCCTATTCATGCGTCACGTTCTCAGGCAATAAGGTTTGGCATTTTCTTTTGCTGATTATTTGTCTGCATTTATCAGTTTACCTTGTCACCATAGCATAGTTTCTTATTCAGAACATTAAGTGCGTGTTTGCAATAGGAGAACACCAAATGGCAAGTTCTTTCAATACAAATGCGGATTAGGCCCGCTTTTGGTTGTAGTTTTATTTGTACCCAATCTTTATGAAAGGGTGTATGTGTTTGCATACCAATTTTCATCAATTAGAGAACAGGGAGTATAGGATATTTCCCGCCTTAAAATCGAAAAAAGGTATAGCATTCCCTCTGGAATTAACAATGCCGGGAATCTTATATTAACTACTCCCTCTGTAAACAAATGCAGTGACCTAAAACGTCTAACATTTGTTTACAGAGGGAGTATTTAAAGCAAGATGATATTTGGAATAGATGGCTATTGTCCCCCTTAAGCAGTTGGCCACCTGCCCATGCCTGTAAAGTGTAAACTATCTTAATCCTGCTGATTGAACTTTTTGTTTCTCTAGGTACTTGTTTGTACGGTGGGGGATAGAGTTGCCAAATATCGTGGTCATGGTTGGTGAAAGTGGTGATTCCGATTACGAAGAGCTGCTAGGGGGTCTCCACAGGACCATAATCCTGAAGGGCGACTTCAACATTGCCGCAAACAGAATCCACACAGTCCGGAGATACCCCTTGCAGGATGTCGTTGCACTGGACAGCTCCAACATCATCGAAGTCCAGGGTTGCACTACCGAGGACATCAAGTCTGCCCTGCGTCAGATTGGTGTACCGACACAATAACATCTTGTGTTTGTGTACCGCAGAAAAAAGGAAGAAGAAAAGGAGAGGAAGCCCGAACCAAACCGAGCACCACTGTTTCCATACTTGATGGGAATGCCGATTTTGTTTGTAGGTTGTAGAGTGTGGGTGTGGTATATTCTCGAGCTGTGAATAACTTCCACCTTTTGTTTGTACTATTCACAAGTTTTGAAGTGGACAATATCGATAAATGTAGTGGGAAAACAAATGTGAGCAGAAAAGTCATTCGGGAACGAGATACCCCGAAAATACAGACAAGGCGGAGCCTAAATGGATGAACTCTGTCTTCTCGTTTTACTGGCCGTCTTCTGATTTATGTTCTTGAAAAGAACCTTCAAGTGTTCTATACAAAATTTATACTATTCAAATGTCGGTTTCCCAATTGTGCTTGCTGTACTATTTCCTGTTCACCTGCAGCAGCTATTGTGTTAGGGCCCTTGTCTTTTTTTTGTTTGAGACAAGTTAGGGCCCTTGCCTAACCAGCCCACGTAGAGGGGCCTGTCGTTGGGCCAACACAGGTGCTTGGTGGCCAGCTGCAAGGCCAACACATGTGCCTGGTTCATCCTGTTCTTCCTTTTGGTGTAACTCTTCCTGTAATTGCTACAATCTCCTCTGGTGAAGTGACTAATAGAGAGAGAGAGAGAGATCGTAGCAGGCTCTTATCATCTGGTATCAGAGGCCAGACACCATTCCTCCCCTTGCGCTGCCCCAGTTCGTGGAGACTAGGCGTCTTTGTCAACCTCGTCCACATCTGGAAGCCATGGATCCGTCTGTCAAGAAGTATTTCGAGCGGTTGAAAGCTTTGTTTTCTGTACCAACATGAAGGCCATCAGGCCCAACACCGCCGAGCCAACACCGCCGAGCTTGACGACCTGGTCGCTCGACGCCGCTCGGTGAGGAAGGACTCGATCTGGCTGCTTCCTCCACTACCACAACCCCGACCCAACGGATACCCCTGTCGTGCCCCATAGCTGCCTCGTTGGTGTGGCTCTTGCCACATCATCGACCACCGGCGCGGTCCTCTTTGGCCGCGGCGACAAGATCGTCGGCATCGCCACCCCTCCGGTCCTCCCCGACATGTTTTTTCATGGAAATATTGTTGCACCCATGCGTTACACAAAGAATGTAAAAATACATCTATTTGGTTCACTAAGGTAGTTTCATGCGTGGTAAATTCCCACACATGAATACAAGACTGCGAGTTTTAGCTTGACTTGAGGTCAACTCTAGGTCCACATGTGGCCAGAAAATGTGGATGCATGTGTACCCCCGAGCATGACTTTTAATGTGGAAGAAGTGAATACCTTTGTTTTCTGTACTACATTTTAGTTTGGCTTTTTGTTTTATTTTTGCACCTCTAGCATGGCTTTTAATGTGGAACGTGAGTGCAATGATTTTGTTATTATGATTTTTCATGGTTGTTATTTTGTCATACCATTTTACGGGTGTGAATTTCGTACCAAACTTTTGAGGCCAGGAAGGGGGTTGGTACAAAGACATTTTCATGTCAGAGAATGCGTGTTATGGTCGATAGTCCGTTGGTGAGAGAGCAAATCAAACATCACCCAGTCGTTCATTTCTAAAGTTGGAACTAACTCTAGATAGTCTGCTTGTTTCTAAGATTAGGAAGATATCTCTTATGATTTACTTAACGGTTAGACTCAACTGATATGTCCACGAAACAAAAGTATAAATAACTAGCTTTATGAGAAAGCAAATGGCGTGTCATTTGTTGATTCTGGTGCAACGGTGTGAGGCACGGGCGGCAGCATAGATGCCCTCCCCTAAAAGTGTGATAAGTAGAATTGTTTTGTCATAACCGAATGCCATATCACTTGAAATTGAGTTATTGTACTAGGAGATGGGTCAAATTCAAGAGTTACTATACTAGGGGATAGTGTAGCCTCACTAACATCAGATAAAAATACTCATATGTGGAAGAACATGTACAATACTTCTAATTGTGGTACACTAAAACAAAAGGCATCGTTGCGGGAGAATGTTTTCCCATTTGTTTTCAAAATTGGTTTCTCCCTAGTAAAATGACTATAATTCACTAATAAAAGTTCTTATCAACCAAGCGAACAATGCCTGTTGGGCCGATATAACAACACCGCTTATTCAAAACAAATTATGTCGTCACGACATAAAAGTAAGTCGCGTGCTTTCCATATAGAAGTATTCCACTCCTACATTATTGATGTCTAATACAACGGAGTACATTGATGACATGGTTCAAATGGCTTAAAAACAAAATACTGAAATAAGATGTGCACACCATGATTGAATGAAGGGATTGAACAAATGAAAGTAATCAATACACTGTTTTCTTTTTTGTTTTGATAAAAGAGAGGCCTCCCGGATTTCCACTAGAACGCAGGTGTGCGGGGGGGGGGGGTAATGTCGGGGTCCTGCTTTCCTCATAGGATGGTTTGCTTCATGCCTCGTCGACACCAGCGACACCTGATGCACGATGGGGATCACCAAAAATGTAAACTAGCAATCTATTAATCAGGTCGAAAAGAAATATTACATCCATAGTCTGCAGTAAGGAAATTATCTAATGATGTGAGTAAACCTGCAATGTAGAAGCTCTCATATGCAAACATAGTCCCCCTTGGTGTTTCTCCCATGATCTTGGTGGATGTCTTCCTTTGATAATCCACTTCATATACCCCGTCAGCAGCACGAATGAGGATAACTTTCCTGTCCTCCATGACACACACAATTCGGCCTTGTGGCCTATGATGATTTATGATGTGGTCATCTTGGATGGGCATGATGGAAAGCAAAGGGATGGTATAGTTCATGGCCCAGGAAGATCCTTCATTGATGCCTCCAACCCTGGACCAAATCTCGAGCACTGAAGTGTTCAGAACTGCCAAGCCAAGAACATCATCGTCTAATGGCACGACGTGGACGTGGCGTCGGAATTTAAGAGATGGCATTGCTTCGGGCAACTCGATAGGGTGGAGCAGATTCTCAGCCATGTCGAAGGCAATGAGGAAGTTATTGGTCAAATGCCAATACAAAACATCACCGATCAACGTGCTTGGACGGAAATCAACCAGGCCGTCGAACCAAACTTGAGCTTGCGGGATATTACAAGCTTGGGTTACCGATGACCACCTTCTTACCTTGATTTCGCGGCCGGTGCTCACAATCCAGACAACAACCCAAGGCGACGAGTGACAGTTTCCATGGTGGTGGTGGGCGACACATACCACTGTGCCGTGGACATAGGCCAGTTCGCTGTGGGTGCGTGTTAATGTCTGATGACCAGTGATTGGATCCCACACTAAGAGCATAGGTACGGCCCCTCCAAGCAGCAAAACCTTACCATGGCGGCAAGCAAGAACCTCCCAGTGGCTCGTGGAGAGAGTGGGGAGGCGGTTGTCTGGATACAAGATGGGCAGGGTGAATCGAGGGACACCGACAACACCTAGATGCTGATCAAAAGGGAGGAAACGATCTGAGCTAGGGACGTTGGTGAAAAAACCCATGAGTGGTGTTACTTCGTGATGCTCCATCAGCCTCCTCAGGAACTTGCTAGTCCTGACAATGGAGCGCCACGTCCTGCACACGGCTGCTATCCTTGCAATGGTGACAGGATGTGGTGAAACTAGCACGAGGATGTTCCAAGTTATGTCATCAGTGATTTGAGACCACGAAGCGAGAGGGAGAGACACAGAGTTCATGCTTCTGCCATGTGAAAAAGGGTTAGGAGAACATTAGTAATTAACGAGAAGGCAATCTAACTTGTCGCATGACGATATTGAAATAGTGGTTTCTTCCAATGGTGATTTCTTTGTTGTAGTAATTAACAATAAGTCAATAGGTTAATACCTGACGATGGAGCCACATAATGAGCTCTTCACTTCGAGAACTTCTGTACAACATGGAGGCACCAATGAACAATTAGTGGGAGTAGTGTGTGTTGTTCTTATAGGAGAGCAAATGTTCTTAGCCAAATACCTCCTCCATCCCAAATTAAGTGTCTTAGACTTAGTACAACTTTAGTACAAAGTTGTACCAAGTCCAAGACAATTATTTTGGGACGGATGGAGTAGATGTTCAAATTATGGAAGCATGCAAACACATAGAAGAAATGGGAGAGATGAAATATAAATGCTACATGTAAAGGAAGAATTTGAGTTTGCACATGTCTCCGTAACCTTTAACATTTCTAAAGTGCACTCTAGTTGGTTGTTTGGATAATATCAACCAGTTTTAGTAAAGCTTGTTTTAAGAAGATTTTTGTTAATAATCTGATCAAGTATACGTTTACAAAAAAATCATGCTTGGATTAAAAAAAACTTGAACTGGTTTGTAGATAACCATGTTTGACTTTATGTTGATGTAGGTTGTTAGATGTGGAAAATGGATTGGCCTAAGAAGTAGGATCAAGGTTGTTGAGGATAACATAAACATATTTATTCAAATATATGTAATAGTTGTTTTCCAAAAACTTGGTTTTGGGTTTTACAAAAATTAGTTCTAAATATCATCAAGTTAGTTAGAAAAAAACTAAACAACCACTTATGGTTGCTTGGCAGCAAATTCGATTGCTAGAGCTATGAGTTGGCAACCAACACGCCAAGCAATGCAAGGGTATGCGGGAGGTGTCCAGTCAACCCACCATGTATGCACCAGGACCCCCATGACTCCTCAACACAGAAGGAGATTGATGTCATTGTATACATGGAGGATGAAGCTAAGGAGTTCCATGACACCACCCCTAGCCCACACCATTGAACCCACTATGCAAAAGAAGGCGTAAGATTTCAAAGAGGTAACTCAGTCACATTCTGTTACACACTCTACGATTACTAGCATGATGACCCAGGGCTTCACCCAACTATTACATTTACATCTTTATATGCATTTGTTACTTTTATAATATTAGTTTATATTAGTCATATGATATTGATGGTTTTCTCTATATTATTCATGGTTTTTCTCTATATTGACTACACACACAAGTTTCCTACCAAGCTCATACGTGCAATTTGGGACTAGTATACCTGAAACGAATCAAGCAAGTTCACTACTCACTTAGCTAGGCTTACAACTAGTCGATCATGACACATACATACCTCGTGCCTTTCGAAAGCGCTCGAGAGCTTGCACGCCCCACCCTAGTATCTAGCTTGGTTTAGAATGATGCTGGGGTTACAAGGTCTTCGATGTCACAAGTACAAAGGGACAAAGGGAAGTAATGGCCCCCACTTGAATGGTGGGATCTTGATTCAACGAGCTGTGGGACTTCGGGCGCCTCACCCGAGGATCTAGCGAGGGTTGAAACAAAGCTCAGGAGGCTCGATTGTGCCATTAAACACACATTTTGTGGTCCCACCATATAACACAATAGATTCTGAGAATGACTAACTGAGTCTATGCATGTGAGCAAAACGATCAACATAACAATGAACAGTTTTGAATAACAATCCAAAGGCTACACCGCAAAAAAGACCAATTGTTCCTAGTAGGAAAAGGCTAAACTTGCTCCAGCACAAGTATCAAACGATTTTTCACCAACATATTTACATGTTGCACATCAAACTTACCAACATGAAAACCAAAGATCCTAGTAGGACACAACCAAAGCCACTCCAACACGACAAGCAAATGATTTTAGAACTAACTTGTTTATATTTCATATAGAAAAAAGGAAATGACAAAGCACACACTATGAAAGGATCAATACAACGGCCTCAAAGACTCCAGAGAGGCCTGAGTTATGGCACTAAAACCCTGTACCTTAACAAAGACCGTGGCATCTTTCTCCCATCATGCCACTATCTTACTCCTTTATGTCCTTGTAGGGGCAGAAGCTAGCATCTATGTGGAGATGGCATCTGCAGCACATTCTTATCCAGCATCATCATCAAAGTTGTGGCGGAAGCAACATCAAATGGTGGCAGACACTTCACCAGATGAATAACCTGGTTGGGAATATCCAGTATCTCCTTTAGTGCATGCTCAGACTTAGCTAGTGATCGGGGCTTATGCCCAATCGTCTCACCTGACGATCTTGACCCCTATTAGTTTTGGGTCATATCTAGTATTATGAGTTGGTACAACTCACTTAGGTACTGCTCATGCAACACGCATAGAAACAATGCTTTATCCCTAGATGTCCAGTCAAATGGTGCCCCTAGACGCATTTCGGGGAGAGCCAGCTAGCTCTGGGTTCAACTTTATTTCATTCCTAACCACAACTCACCCAATAGCATGATTATTGATGGTAAGGGAACCCTAATCATGGATAACATGCATCTAGGGTCGACAAGGACTTACAAGTTCAAGGTTTGTTCCTCATGGATCAACTCCTTGAGCTTGCATAACTTATCGCGAAGCCACTCAGCCTCCTCCCCCATATTTTCCACAGATGCTTGGAGGTCACTGCAGACTGAAACCGCCTTCTCCTAATGCCTCGCTCATGGCGCGTGAGCTCTTTCGACTTTTAACCATCGTATCCACCTCAAGACGTGCAAACTTGGCACGCTCCTCCGCTTGGGCACAAGCCAGGCACACAGAGATTCACCCGCTAAATAGGCTTGGGCTACTCCAAGGCAGAGGTGTTCAACCCCTGAGGGTCAGCAACACCCTGTACGGACTAGAAATCTACTCATCCAAAGTAAAGCAGAATCTAGAAAGCCAAGAAGGTAAATGATGAGTAAGGCAAACCTGCATGGCCTTAATTGCCTCCTAGAGGTAGGACTTGATAGCCCACAACCTTGCGACCGGTGAAGGACTGACAACTAGAGCTTCATTCCTAGGGGGCTCAGCCGCTGACAAAGGTGTCACCGCTTGTGGCCTTTAAACTCGCTCTTAGAGGGGTGGTGCCAGTGGTGACACAACCCACCGTGCTACCAACCAAAGCGTCCTCCAACAAGCTGCAATGAAGATAAGGCACCATCAAAACTCACTAAGTGAGTTTCACAAGGAAAATAGGGGATCAACATAAAGACAATTTGGAGCCTTGTGTGTGTCACACTTGAGCCGCCCTGGCGCTATGACCTCCTCCCATCGTTGCGACCAAAAAGAGAGAAACTAGATCGCTCCTCTGTGAAGAATAAACAAGAAAGCTTACAGAGTTCAAGCTAGACATGGTTGGATAGAAGTCGCTTTGAGAAGGTGCCTCCGGTCCAGGCATTGGTAGCAAGTGCCTCTAGTGCAGACGCATTGGCGGCTGACACCACCTCTTAGGCCGACGCCCCAAGGTCGTTGTGATCCTTGAACATGTGATACCATTTCTAACAATGCGTTTGGGAGTTCATCAAAACACATAATGAGAATAACTGAAAAGAGTCCAAAGGGGATAGAAAACACACGACTAAGTTCACTTTAGCCTAAGGATGCAGTCTTTGTCTTATGCATCCACCTTGATCGATGCTTCTGGAGCGTTGTGGTTCCTAGTCCTTCGACATCTTTCAGGGTAGACCATCTCGTTCACCCTAGCCCAAGGAACCTCCTATCAGGGATCTGTGCATTGCAAGAAGTGGATAATGATAATTTGGAATACCAGTTGCGGGAAGAAAGGATCGAGCAACTTACTGTTCCCATCATGGCAGGGGTCCAACCCACCATATAAACCTACATGGGTTCTACCCACTCCGTGAGGGGGGGGGGAATCTGTCGGCAGATGAATTCACCAATGACATGGACATCATTCAGCTACCAGTTCTGTAGGTCTTTGATGACAACTTCCATCTCCCTGATGAAGTCGTGATCAACCACATGCACAGTCCAATCACCTAACCTGGAGCAGTCGCCCCATCGGACACGATGACCATCGTGTTGATGGTTTTATGTCATTATGGCTCCAAGAATTATGTGTTTTCACCTCGATGATGTCCTTGTTCTTACATGTTGGTGTTCACCTTCATAAAGCGCAAAAAAGATGATGACATAATTCCAGATCCAGAAGTATCCCAAGAAAACCCTCACACGAATGTACAAAGGGAGAAAGAAAGACCACCGAATTTGGGGTTAGATGGTACAACAGGATTCTACAGAATGCAACACTGAAAGAAGGAGGGACAATGAAAAATTTACAACGCATAGCATGTCATCGAGGAGGACCACCGCTGTAACACCTTCAGACATGAGGATACCACCCATTGAGAAGGCCACCCCTCGCAACAACATCCCCTCCTTGAACATGATGAATAGTTCCATGAGAACCAAAGACGATGACCAACCACAAGTAAGGATAGTGTTGGCCTCTCCCGACGCAAGTAAGGACACCGATATGATCAAAAGTGCACTTGCAATGCAGCACAATAGTTGGCGGCTGCGTGCTAAGGGCTCTCAATGACAACAGAGTCGGGGCGGTGCTCTGGGTGGTCATGCCGAAGTATGGAGAGGGAAATGAGGAGGATGGCTCAAGGACTTGGGGACAAAGTATGAAGGAAGCAATATAACCCAACAAGGAATGGGGAATAAAATATAAATCCTACAGACCATGCATCCTCGAAAGCCAAACCAATAAGAGATAAAGGTGCGGTGTGAATCAAGGCGATGAGGGATGCAACACAGAGATTCATATCACATCACCATCCATAATTCACTGGCCCCCTATAGGGTATGCCACATGGCAGCCGATCAGACCACCCACATGGCCACACAGAGGGAACAACTTCATCGGGCCTGATCAACACCAAGCAAGTTGCCCACCGACTTCAAATAGGGCAAACGGCTTGGGCAATATGCCCACGCCCGCATTTCGAATATTGATAGGGGGTTATCGTGGGGAAGTGGTTTCACTGTATTCTCATCCATGCATACCGTAACTTGAGTTGTAGTGCATGGTACGAGGGGCTCATGCCTGTGAGGTCAGTTACCTTAGACGTGCAAACCTGGTTGCCTTAAGGGGAGTCGTGCGACTACCAAAGATGGAGAAGATCAAGACTTGCACAACAAGAAGATCAAGGTGACGGACAACGACCACAAACCAAGACCCCTATATAAGGCACTCCCTCAGGACAAGGGGAGACCTTAGACTCCTCCGAAAATCAGAATAGTTTATTAGTTCATTAGTAGATCCGATTAAGGTTCTCCATCCAGATCGTCCACCTACAACGCCAACGACTTGATCCTCAACTTACCGAATAGTCCATTACACTCCCCATTGTAATCAAACTATGGTAGAATCTCATATAAGTAGGAGTAGGATTTTTACTCACCCGACGAGGGCCTAGCCTGGGTAAAACTTGTGCCTCGTGTCCATCTGGTAACCTAAGGCAACGTCCCATTACCATACAATTCTATGTAGGTTCATCGTATTGTTATTTTGTACTTGGCAAAACACTGTTAACATCAAGTTAAGCGACGGCTATTCCATCTCGTCCATAATTGTGGACATGATTGCTCGAACAGATTGACACGCTGGACCCACAAGACTTGATTGTTTACCATGTCAGCCATGACTCACCATGCGTTAAGTATACGATGCAAACACGCAACCAAGCCTCTTATCAAGCTGCACCCCAACATAAGATCTGCCCATGATACCTGACACTCATAGTACACATACTATCGCCGTTCCCACTTGTGTAAAAAGTGTCCCATCACAAAGCATCCAAAAAAGGAATACAACTACCAAATAGGCTTGAAGTGTTTATTATTTTAAGGTTTGATTACCTTAATTTTCACTAATGTTCAGGCTGCAAACTCAGGATGTGATAACATCCAACTATATGTCCTCTTCTTTATGCTTCCCAAGCCACCTTATGTATCTAATAGGATCACATGTCACGCAAAATTTTGAGGTTTTGCTATACTGGACTCTATATTACTCTCATTTTCATCCTCTGGATACCGTAATGAAACCTACCAATAATTTCATCAAATCAAGCTTGACATGCAGGTGCACAAAATTTCCTATTTCCTGAACATCTAGTTCCTGCTCGGAAACTTTTCCAACTCATGTAGTAAGATTGGCAACAAAACCCTTTGATCGATACCTAGGAGGACACTTGTGTAATCTAGATCCAAACCGCCATCCTATTCACTAAGAAATCCCTAAACAGGCGAGGACCGCCCGCTGTTATTTTCTGCCAATCTCCGAAACCAAAAGCTTGAACCGTGAAAATTAAATTTTCCTCAAGGGCGGTGAATTTCAATTTCACTTCCCGTGCATGCCACCGTCATGTTCGCATAAAATTTCACTTCCCTGAAATTCACCGTCCTGATCGCCAGACGAGAGGCATTCTAGCAACAAAGCTAGCACTAACAAGCAAAAAAAAAACAACAAAAAAACAACAACAAAGCTAGCACTAACAGGTTAACCAAACCAAACCAAAACAGACCCAACGACCGAAGTAAAGCACCAAACCAAACCAAACCAAACCATTTCGCAATCTCGCAAGCGACGCAGCCGCCTCCACCACCAGGAACCAGACCGCGCACGCCTCCTTAGCTCGAGCCCAGACCGGAGCCCTGTTCCGCCGTGGATCGCTGGAGGAGAGGACCACCGGCCGGATCCCGACGGGCCAGATGGTGGGCGACCCCCGCGGCGGGGGCGAGTAGCACGGCTGCGATCGGCGGCGGACGGATCGGCGGCGCCGCAAGGCGGCGGGGGCCACCATGTCTGCCGTAGTGTGCGGCAAGAGGTCCTCCATCTTCGCCGACGAGCTCATCCCTTCCTCTCCGCCTTCCCCTCCCCACCACCACCCTTCCAAGCGGGCCCGCTGCTCCCCGGCCCGCGCCTTCGACGACGCCGCCGCGGCCCACCGGCGGGAGGCGCTGCTCCACCACCTTCGCTCCCTCTTCCCTCACATGGATCCCCAGGTCTGCCGCCCTCGTTTGTCTAATTAATTTAGTTGCCGAGAGAGATTTATTTTGTAGGAATTGGCGTTGGACGCACGAAGGCGACTCTTTTCATGTGAATTTTGTGCTCTGTGGTTGGATTCTGCTGTGCCTGGAGCTGTGAATGAAATAGCGCTAATCTTAGTATTGTTGTGATGAGAGGTTGGTGTTTGGAAACCTGGGTGTGAAGATCCTCTGTTGCTTTGGTAGATTTGTGATATTTCTAATTCTCAAATGCTATGGTGTTGGATGCTGAAACCGGGTCCTTTTGTTGTGAAGTTAGGGCATTTCTACCCTCTAAAAATAGTGGAGTATCCGGCAAACTGCCGACGGGGGAGATACGAGCGGCTAGAGGCGGAGTCAATACCTGCATGCGGCGTGGAGGCGTTGCCGGGGCTGTGTGGTTCGGTACCCGGCCAATCCATGGCAAGGCGCAGTTGCCGGCGGCCGGAAGCGCCAAATCCGGCGGCGGTGGCGGCAGCCGCAGATCTACCAGTTGTGCGCTGGCAACGGGACGAGGAGGCACAGATCCGGGTGGTCAAGCACCGCGGCGGAGCCTACGGAGCATCCGCGGTGGCTGGCGGTGCCCGGCGGGGGGTGGGAGGGGCGGTGCCGGTGTAGATGCGGCGCGGGAGTGGGGCAGGGGAGGCAGAGGAGGAGAGGAGAATTTTTACTCAGCCGCCGAGCGGTGGAGTAAATATAGGGAGGCGCGGCGCAGATGAGGATAATTTATCCTCCACTACCGCCGATTGGGGATGCCCTTACGGTGGACCTTTGCTTAAACTTGATGTGGAAAGCGTTTGACGCAAAGCTATTTAGGCTATAGCTACTCAAGTGCTATCTTGATGAAATGGGTCATTAGTTACAAAGAGACTGTTCACTCAGAAGAGGTGAAGAGCTTAGTGCACCAGTTTGGAGAGTTTAAAATCACCCATTTCAGTAGGGATCAAAATAGGGCAGCTCATGAGTTAGCTCAATTTTTTTTGAAGAAACACAGGAGAAGTACGCAATTCATTCAGAAGGGGCGGCTGACAGCCAAACTGTACAAACCTATCGTGATGAGTTTTGGACCATGGACTGCTAGATCAAAAGCGGCATGAGTTAGCTCAATTTAGTCTGCGGCTTTCTGTGCTTTCACTTTGGGACCATGGACTGAGTTTTGTCCAGCTATTGGATGCTGAATGTAAACCTATTGTGATGCAATAGATCTCACCTTTTCCTCACAATAAAGAAAGAAAGAAATAGGGCAAAGCTTTGATGAATGTTACCTGACTTATTTGGTGATGAATGATGAATCAACTAATCGATAATAATTTGGATCATATTTATCAGATTCCCTTAAACCATTGTCAAACCTCTATTTCGGTCGAGAGATCTGGTTCACAGTTGGACCACGATCTTATTTTCTAAGGGCTGGATGAGAAACCAGCTACTAATGAACAAAGAAAACCAAGAGAACTAACCGAGAGAGGGATGCCGTCATGTCGGATCTAATGCCACGTCGCGCTGAAACCAATGGTCGACGAGTCGTTCTGGGGTAGCGACTCTTGACTAGTTGTGACTAGTCTAGACTCATGGTCGACTAGTCGACATGAGGAGCAGCAGCAAGCCAGCAACCAGGGGAGGAGGGGAGGAGCAGCAACCGGATCTTCATGATGAGGTGCAAATATCTTCTTCGTGAACCACATCTCTGATTAGTGAGCCGCGGAGGTATTACCAACCCTGAGGAGCCTACTTTTATGAAGTGGTGAATCTCCTCCAAACCTGGATCATGGACCCGGCAAATTGCGAGTCATGTATCATGGTTTGGATGATTATCAAGCAATCTAATGATAGCCTTCTATTGTCAATTAGGAGGTTTCTCTTTCAGGATGTGTTGTGACAATATTGTGTCTACCTTTAACTAGTTTACATCTTGCTAGGACTTCCCATCACAAAATTTGACATTCTGAGCATTTTCTCAGTACCTTGGATATCCCTTCTTTGCGTATTGCATTTCAGGTAATGCTAAATGTCACTATTTTTTTGCGCATATAATGCTCTGAGCAGTTTCGGATCTTATATATATGTAGTTGGGATTTGTCATTTCTTCGTAGTTGTCAGGAGATGCTTCTCTATTGTGTCCCATATATGTTTTCCCTCTTTTCACTAACTCGTACTCCCTCCGTCCCCAAATAAGTGACTCAAGTACAAAGTTGAGTCACTTATTTTGGGACGGAGGGAGTACTAAATAGCGAGCTATTCCCTTCTTTTTGACACTCGACTTTCCAATCAAAGTGGTTGTAAGACTCATAAGGATCTAGTTTACGAAGATCCCATTGTATTCCAGAAGTTCGTAACGTCGGTCTGATAAGCCCTAATTTACTGCCTCTTATCCATTAATAAAACCTACTCCTTCAACTCGCTCTAGAAAAAGGGGATTCTGTGCAATACGTTGTTGATCTTCAACAATTTTTAGAAAAACAGGGAGTCCTCCCCGGTTCCATTATATGTAATGAAACCCACACCATAACAAGCTTGATCTTCAACAATTCCGCGTAAAAAATAATCACAGAAATCTAAACATTTATTGATCCATCTATAAGGTGGATTGGCAGCCTCTGGATGATTGATGAGATTTTATGGATAGAGAGCCAGTTCCAATAGACTTATAGAACCAACGTTCCGTTTGCGTGCCTTTCCCTGTACTTCAAAGTCGAACACAACTGCTGCTACATATAAGGGAAGTGTTTGGCTAGATAATTTCAATAAAGACACTTTCAATTATTTTGTTATATGTAGATTTGCTGGAAACTGTCATTCCATTATTTTAGTTTCTTTTATTGAACTATGTATTTATCTTACTCTAATTGAGATAATTTTTTTACACCTTCTTACCAACTATAATAAAACTAGCTGTTTGGTAATTGCTTACCCATCCTTTTTTTAGCATGGCAAACCTTTGTAAGTGGTGTGTATGTATTTGTGCCTGAACAGCTGGCATTTTCCCCCATTAATTCTCAATATTGCTGCAGCCTTCATGTAAATGTGCCATTCATAGAAATTTCCTTATCATTCTTTTCTATTTATCTACACCTGCTCTCATGCTTCCATTGTGACAAGTGTATTTCCCTGGTTAGCATTTTTTGCTCTATGAAGCTGGGGATCTTGTATTGGAACTTGTGGTTTTCATTTAGACTGGCATGGTTAGAATGTTTTTGTGATTAAATAGTGATTTCTCATTGTAGCGATATGATATTGATATTGCTTATCATAATGATTCCAGTTGCTTGAAAGAGCTCTTGAAGCATCTGGAGATGATTTGGATTTTGCAATAAGGAGTTTGAATGACCTGCGCCTGGAGTCAGCTGAGGCTATCTTTTCAGCTGCTGTTGGTGAACCTGAGAATGGCCTGTCAACAGCCCTTAAGTTAACGGCTGAAGGTATGGTGATTGAATTTACATTAGAAGGTGGTTGCATGCTAGACATTCAAGCACAATTCATCGCATTTAACGTGTTTATTTATTGATAAAAACTTGTTCGATAAGTGAAACAGTATGCTTAATTGCTCTGCTTGATGTTTTGCAACAATGGTAGTCAGTCTGATCAAATAGGCATCTTTCCCTAAATTCCTTGATCGTTCTGCTTGGTGTTTTACAACAATGGTAGTCAGCGTGATCAAATAGGCATCTTTCCCTGAATTCCTTAATTGTTCTGCTTGGTGTTTTGCAACAATGGTAGTTAGCATTATCATAGTCTGCATGCACTTTTCATGTATTTGTGTCCCGTGTAAAAGACATATTTTAATTTTTGTTCTGTCATGTCTATCATGCACATTGTGGTTATTTGAAATAGACTGCATGCCTTGTACTTCATGTACACTGCATAATCTATGCTACTCAATTTTCAATTGGTATTATCTGGCATCTTTAGTATTCCTGCAAAAATGTCTTATATTAGTGTACAGAGGCAGTACTAGTTAAGCTTTTATTACTTCCACGATGTCTATTGTTTGGCAGCCTACTTATATCGCTATATCTTTATGAATCATGTATCCCTTTTATATTAATGGAAACAATTTTCGATGTTGGACAGGTAATGGCCAATTGGATGCTATTAGTGGAAATCCACCTGCGACAGATAATTGTCAGACAAATCACCATAGCTCTGAATGGGTTGAGCTATTTGTTAGAGAGATGATGAGCGCCTCTGACATAAATGATGCACGGGCTCGTGCATCAAGAGCTTTGGAGGTTATTGAAAAGTCCATCATGGAGCGGACAGGAGCCGAGGCAGTGCAAAACTTGCACAAGGTACTATGAATACACTTGCATAATATTCACGATTTACCTCTAGGGCTTAATGTTTTCACTTGGCCATAGGAAAATACGATGCTAAAGGAGCAATTAGCAATAGCTCTTCGAGAGAATGCTGTTCTGAAGCGGGGGGTTGCAATCCAACATGAGCGCCAAAAAGAGTTTGATGATAAGACACAGGAGGTTCACAACCTAAAGCAATTGATTTTGCAGTATCAGGAACAACTAAAGACTCTCGAGGTACTCTCCAGACCTTGCTTCTTTGGTTCTTAGCTATCCATTTCACACCAAGGGTTGGGTTTTAATTTATCTTTTGCGAACCACCTGTCATTGCAGATCAATAATTATGCACTTAGGATGCATCTACAGCAGGCTCAGCAGAACAGTTCAATGCCCGGGCGTTTCCACCCTGATGTTTGCTGATAAGCTTTCCATCCTGATGTCAGAACAGTATTTTTGTGTGACCTGAAGTGTGAGGATAGTGTATTGCTATCAGACCTAAACTACAAGGATCGATGAAAAATAGCGTGTTGATGTTTATTTCCGTGTGACATTGAATCTTTACGTTTGTTCATTTTCTGAAAGATGATTGTATCAGAATCTCTTGTTTACTGCTCAGTGTCTGCTTGATATGGGGAAATAAATTGAGCAGAATTAGGGCAGGACGGCCTGATAGCCTGAAAGCCCAACATCTGGACCGGTCTTGAGTGTGGGCTTAGCTTTTCTGCCCAAAGCCTGCCCTGAAAGCCTGAATGGGATTAAAATAATTATTTTGAATGAAAAATAGGAATACTAGTATACAAAAATATCTTGAAATTATTATTTAACTTAAAAAGTGCATTCTTCAAAAGTTTTTGGTTGGGCCAGACTTTGGGCCTTGGGATTTTGACTTGGGCTTTGCCAAGCCTGGCTCGGGGTATGATCAGGTCTAAGTAAAAATACTTTAGTACCAGTCGAGGGGAGAGACGTGGTCTTAGGCCCCTCCCAATGCTCCACCTAGTATGGGTGCTAAGCATGCCACGTAGACGAAAAATCTGATGTGGCAAGGCAATTAAAAGAAGAGAGATGAGTTTGGTGACCCCACGAAGAACCAATGCCAAACGCGCGAACCTAGGCAAAACATTTAAATGAAGCAAATTCACCAATGCATGAAAGAATTTAGTAGCTAAATCATTAAATGAAGGGAGCTTAGCTACAAGAAGCTAACCACCTATGCATTGGGGAGTTTGATTGCTAAGCTATTTAATATGCTTAGCACCCCATCTAAGCATCGATCCAAATAGGATTCGCCGCCTGCTTGATATGGGGAAATAAATTGAGCAGAATTAGGGCAGGACGGCCTGATAGCCTGAAAGCCCAACATCTGGACCGGTCTTGAGTGTGGGCTTAGCTTTTCTGCCCAAAGCCTGCCCTGAAAGCCTGAATGGGATTAAAATAATTATTTTGAATGAAAAATAGGAATACTAATATACAAAAATATCTTGAAATTATTATTTAACTTAAAAAGTGCATTCTTCAAAAGTTTTCGGTTGGGCCAGACTTCGGGCCTTGGGATTTTGACTTGGGCTTTGCCAAGCCTGGCTCGGGGTATGATCAGGTCTAAGTAAAAATACTTTAGTACCAGTCGAGGGGAGAGACGTGGTCTTAGGCCCCTCCCAATGCTCCACCTAGTATGGGTGCTAAGCATGCCACGTAGACGAAAAATCTGATGTGGCAAGGCAATTAAGAGGAGAGAGATGGGTTTGGTGACCCCACGAAGAACCAATGCCAAGCGCGCGAACCTAGGCAAAACATTTAAATGAAGCAAATTCACCAATGCATGAAAGAATTTAATAGCTAAATCATTAAATGAAGGGAGCTTAGCTACAAGAAGCTAAGCACCTATGCATTGGGGAGTTTAATTGCTAAGCTATTTAATATGCTTAGCACCTCATCTAAGCACCGGTCCATTGGGAGCAGCCTTATGTTGATTTGTGGGGTGGTTAGAATCGCGACAACGATGATTTCATGTGAGGAAGTGGGAATGGAGGTCAAGCCTAGAAAAGACATTGGAACCTGAAATTGAGACCGTGCGAAATAAATGAGCTTAGTCAAGATGAATGAGACAGTTTTTTTAACAGATTCAACGAGAATCCGCTGCCTCACCGGCTTCTTCTAGAACTTCTTCAGGACACCTAAAAAAATTCAACATTGGGACCCGACAAATGAAGCTGGGCGAAATAAATGGCAGTAGTGAGCTTAGGGTGTGTTTGGTTCTGATCACCGGGTGGAACGTAACGGGTCCGTCCCATGCCTGGCAGCCAATTTGTGCGTCGACTACATAAACGATGCTATCATGCACTATAGCATCAGACAAAAATGTTGCCTCAACAGGATTGACGATGAGCCATAACCATGTATGGCGACCGGATTCCAGATAGATTAATCCCATGTTGAACAAGGCAATGAGCATGTAATCCATGTAGTCTTCTGATGGTGTGGGAACTTCGCATATTACAACTTTCAGCAAACAGAGGTCGAGCCAAAAGCTTGACGCTTCTCGTGCATAGGCAGGAGTGTCCGACGGGGCACAAGGCTCGATGGCGGTGGTATCCAACGATGGAAGGGTGATCTCCCGCTGGGTGTAGATATCCACGAGACACCACGGACTACCAGATTGGTGGATGAGGACGATCCGGTTGGCCTTCATGCCCGCCCAGTAGTGGCCGCGCATGAAAGACAGGTGGACGGGTAGTGGTAGCATGTCGAGGGGCACCACAACAACCTCCGTAGGATCATCAAGTCGGTGTCTGGGCTACCTGCGAGGATCGGGCATCAGCAAGCAGGGTGTCTTGAAAAGAGTCGACTGGTTGCAGACGAGTAGACGGCACAAAGACACCGAACATGCGGCCAGACGGACGGTGCTGAGTAGGTCCATACGATTACATATCTGCTCCAAGAGAACATCGGGGAGGGAATTCCAATCGCGGCTCTGCGTGTCAGTCGGTTCTGCCATTGGGGTTTTCGGTGCCTGCGAGCCAGCGGGGAAGTGGATTCGGGCGGGCGAGCGAAGAAGCTTCTCCTCGTGTAGCTGAGCAGTGAGCGGGGGGATATGGTACGTGCGAGCTACCAAGGAAGATGGCGCGAGCAGGCGAGCAGTGAGCGGGGGGAAATGGTGTGCGGCCGATGATGGGGAAGACAGGAGGAAGAAGAAGAGAGGGGAAGAAGAGTGAAAGACGGGGAAGAAAGTGCATTAAATCTCAATTCTACTAGTACTATTACTAGGATATACCGTCCTTCGGAGTGTAAATAGTTACACAGATGACATGTGGGTCTACCTCATGAGGGCCCATATGTTAGTTAATGGAGGATAGAGATACGTAGGCATATTTGCCAAAGCGTGCTCTACCGGCAAACATGATGGCAGTACTGGGTAAGGCTGATTTAGTAACACCAACACGCTGGTTCAGCTTATTAATTAAGTGTCCCATCTGCTGTAGCGTGTATTGTCACTTCACTGCGAAGACTAGTTGAATAGTTCTCTCTGACCGAGATGGGGAATAATGGACCGCGAAGACTTCCTTTCTACAGTATCCCTGTGCCTCTACGCTCACTTCACTCATTTTGCTCCGTACGCAGTCACTTGTTGAAATCTATAGAAAGACAAATACTTCGTATTTGGGAGGGAGGTTTTTACTCCGTATTTGGGAATAAAGGGAGTATCACCATATGGAGGGAACAGAGGAAGCTTGAAATATGAACATGTCAATGGGAGGGAATAAGCCTCATGCATGCATGCATGCATGCAACATGCAACACTCACACGTACACATGGACGCACGCAACACTCACGCACCCATGTGGCACACCGCACACGATGCAACACACACGCTCACGCTCAAGTGCTCAACCTACTCCCTACGTCCGTGAAAGACTGTACATTTAGAGATTTACACATTGACCAGGGCATAATTAACGCCCAAAAGTAGCAGACTTATGTGTGCATGCGACCATCGAGAGAAAAAAAATTAAATGAAGGTTGTTGCATGCTGTAATTAAGGATAGGCATGTAGCCTATACCTAGAGCACAAGTTGGTGCATTAATCAATCAATATCGATTTAGATTAAATGCTAAATGCATTGGAAGTGTAGATGTACTACACTCTTTGTTTTTTATCTGATGTACACTCTTTGTTGGAAGACCGAGGGAGTACACGTGCATGCACTCACATACACAACCAGGGTGGTTCGCGCGCAAGGGTTGGACTCCTGTCACGCCTGTGTAAAGTTTTGTTTAACTGATTTCTTTGCTCTGCCAACTGATAGGTGGGACCTAGAAACCAGGTGACAATTTAACCAGTCAACAAAGTGCCACGTCGACTATGTGTCCGGTCACTAGGGTGCAATACGGTGCTCTACGATGAGCTAGTGATGTATAATCACCGCAAAACCATATATAGTGACCGTAAAGAGCGTATTGTTACATACGTTGACCGCCAGTGTATTTTTCTCGTTTCAAATTAAGCCCATATTAACCAGAAAGGACGCAGTATGGACTAGTACTAGTGCTGCTTTGATGTGTCCCGTCAACTCGCCGAATGAGGAGAAGCTTGCTTACTACGCCTCTCCCTCGCCCACGCGTGCGGTGGCTCGCAGGACGAGGAGAGGGTTTTGACTATAGCACCCTCTCCCTCTCCCTCTCGCGGTGGACGTGCATCAGTTCAATCAGTGTCAGATTGCCAAAAGCATATTGTACTATAGTATCATCATTGTTGGACCTTCCGAAGAGGCGAAGAGCCAAGTGCAAGGTTCACACGAGTACGGACTGTTGAGCCTCCCGAAGAGGCAAAGAGCCAAGCGCAAGGTTTTATAGGAGTTGTCGTCCTAGTAGGAGTATACTACAACTATAGCGAATGATACTACTGTATGATTCCGCCATGTCACCTATATCCAAAGCTGTGCCACCTTTTTTTCTCAAAGAGCGTGTTGGAGCCTGTGCAACAATGATAATCCCCAAGTGCAGAGAATCATCGTAGCAATTTCCAAAGGTGGAAGGGATAAGTATGAAGTGTCGAACCCACAAGGAGCTAGAGGTAAGATCAATATTCTCTCAAGTCCTATCTGCCACTGATACGACTCTACGTACACCGAACGTTTGCTTCCAACTAGATACGAGAAATAAAACTACGTTGTGGGTATGAAGAGGATAACTTTGCATGATATCGGAGAGCTAAAATATAAAAGTAGGTGCTATTATCATAAAGTTAGAATATATTACTAAATATTATAAATAGCGAGTGTGGAATAATGATGGATCGGTATGCGGAATTATCCTAGGCAATTGTTAACAAGACCGACAGTCGTCATTGCAATTTCATATGAGGGAGAGGCATAAACTAGCATACTTTCTCTTCTTGGATCATATGCACTTATGGTTGGAACTC